ATAAGAATAGTACTAAAGAGGAGGTGTTACATCAGTCCAGTGAATTTGCTACGGTATATCCGCCTATAGCAAGCATCCATATATTGCACCAGGTTGTCACCAAACAACCTTGACAAGTAAGATCAGTCACTGCCTTTTGACAGGGTCGTTCAACACTATAATAGTCTTACCGTATTATCTGTGCCCTTACTTCAGAATAATATTGGGGCTACAGACATTTCTAGAATGACCACTATATGTGCTCATAGGGTTCTCACTATCAAGATTTGAAACGCTTGATACCCTCGTCACGGTTCTACCATTCTAAGGACATATATCAATACATATTGCAATAATAATGATTTACGCGATATAAAATAAAATGTATTTTATTGATTAATGAATATTATTACAAAAAGTCAATTCTACAATAATTGATTGGTTCTAGGGCATCTACTCTAACAGAAATGGTGAAAATGGATTGAACCCTTCCATTTCTTTGGTGGATGAAACATAAAACTCGTTTGGACATAATCCTCTGAATGCATCATTTCGGGAATCTATTATGAATTTATGATAAAATAATAAAATAATAAAAAATGAAAATGAAAAAAAAATTAAATAATAATATGAATAAGAGATGATATTGAATGCAAATTTTTTTAATTTTTTTTAATTTTGTAAAAAAAATATTAATCTTTATAATTTCTGTTTATTTTAAAATTTATAGTAGGTTTTATGTAATTATCTAAATGACTAAAAAAATAAATTAAAAGGGTTTGGGCCCGAGCCTGGGACTTGGGCCTTAGAGGAGGGTCCAGTAGAGGGATCAAACCCTCCTCCTTAGGCCTAGTCTGATTTTGGGATCAGACTTACTAGGATCGGGTTTTTGGACCTGGTCCGAAATGTCCAGCTCTATACCCCTAACTAGACTTGCCAACGGTAACATTTATTTAACAGCGATTCTATTGGCTGCGTATGGCAAATGGCAATGAGAGAGTATTAATATGATAATAAAATAATAATATCTGAGTGAATTCAATGAAAAAGAATGGGTCTGGGTTTAGTTGACATGAATTAAATAGGCCAATTGATGTAGTTTAGTTTACCAAGATAAAATAAAAAAAAAAACTGAGTGAAAAGGGACGAGACACTAGGGCGAAGTGCTTTCCACAGCTGCTTTTCCCTCCCTTTCCAGCTGAAATAGTACATCATATACCTTGTCGGATTCCATCAGCCAAAATTTTGTCCAGTAAAATCCCGTAACCATTTCACTGTATATTAACTTCATTATAACCATAACCTCGTGTAATGCCTTAATTTTTTTTTTTTTTAAACTGTTATAACTTTTTGTTTTAAATCAACGATTGTCCAGGCTAAATCGTACACACTTCAAATAAAAGTTCTAATGACTACCTTTATTAGTACCTAGAGAAACTCAAATTTAGTAACTCATAAAATCTCATTTTACTCTTTTAGCATCAGGTCACCTAGTGATGATTTTGTTATAAAATTTTGTATAAACTATTTTAAATTTTATAACAATTTTGAGTATTTTCCATAAACTATTTTTTAACTTATTTAAAATTCTGAAATTTTAAAAATATTCTGCTTTTATTTAATAAATTTGATTTTAATCTATTGTCGTGTTTTTAATAAATTAATACTCAAATGGGCTGCTTGGATCAGGGGTATATAAGATAATGGGGGTAATCTTCGTTTATTTTGCAAGATTTCGGTGTTTGGTTTACAAGTAATAAAATATTACGATAATCTTCTATTGCAAATAGTGTTTACTGTTGGTAATATAGAGGGTAATAATATTACCGAGGTAATCTGATTTTTCTAACCATTTGGCCCTTAATTATAAACCATTTTAGACACAATTGCCCTCAAATGTCTACCAAATAACAATTACCCAGCCCTCTACATTTGAGAAATTAGTTAAAACACCCCAGCCACAAAAAAGTTAACAAAATACCCCCAGCCACCCAAGACCACGACTCACCACCGCTAACCGTCGACGTCAATCGCTGTAATGGTGCACAACCAAATCTGGTGTTTCTATGACAGTTTCACGGCCAAAGATGTGTTCGTAAAACGGCCACAAATCTGGTCGTGAAAAGGCCAAATTTTTTGCCATGAAATGGCACGGCCAAAGATCTGGCCTTTTCACAACCACATCTCTGGTCGTGAAATGGCCATAAATCTGGCCGTTTTCTGGCCATAGATTTGAGATTCATGGCCATTTTTGGCATTATTAACCATATACGGCCAGTCGTGCGTCATTTCGTCGACTGCTAGCAATGGCTTGGGATAGGTGGGGGTGATTTTGCTATAAATTAAAGTTTTATATGGCTATGGTGTTTTAGTAAAATTTCAAATGTAGGGGGTTAAAAGAAATAATTAAAAAATAATAATAAAAATACTATTATATTAATATTTTAAAAGGAGGGCAATTTAATAATTTATATAATATATACACCCATTTATCCTTCCAACGAAATATATTATTCATCAATTTATTCGAACAAACCAAGCATATTTTCTAAACATTCTCAGTAATTTTTAAAGTAATTTTTCTTTCAATTAATATAATATATCACTATATCAAAATATTATATATCCAAATAAGTAATCTTTAAAGTAATTTTTCTTTCAATTAATATAATATATCACTATATCAAAATATTATATGATCCAAATACTCACTTGCCGACTGTCACGTTTATTTAACAGCAATTCTATTGGTTGCTAATGGCAAATGACAATGAGAGAATATTAATAAGATAATAAAATAAGAGTAATACTACCATTACAAAAAGGCAAATCTAACCCTTGAAAAAAGACAAAAAAAAAGAGAGAAAGAGACAATCATGAATTTTATGAACTAGATTTGACTATTTATACGTCTTTTTGTATAATTTTTTGTAAGGTTAGTATTACTTATAAAATAATAATATATAGTGAATTCAGTGAAAAAGAATGGGTCTGGGCTTAGTTGACATGAATTAAATAGGCCAATTGACGTAGTTTAGTTTACCAAGATAAAATAAAATTTGAGTGAAAAGGGACGAGACACAAGGGCGAAGTGCTTTCCACAGCTGCTTTTCCCTCTCTTTTCAGTTGAAATAGTACATCATATACCTTGTCGGATTCCATCAGCAAAAATTTTGTATAGTAAACTTAACTACGTCAATTGGCCTATTTAATTCATGTCAACTAAACCTAGACCCATTCTTTTTCACTGAATTCACTGAGATATTATTATTTTATGAGAAATACGAGCCTTACAAACAGATATACAAAGAATCAAATCTAACCCTTAAAAGAAGAGAGAAAGAGAGAAAGAAAGAGACAATCATAAATTTCAATGATTAAATTTGATTCTTTGTATGACTCTTCGTATGTCTCTTTGTAAAGCTAGTATTACTCTTTGAGTGAAAAGGGACGAGACACAAGTCGAAGCGCTTTCCAGTTGAAATAGTACATCATATACCTTGTCGGATTCCATCAGCAAAAATTTTGTCTAGTAAATCCTGTAACCATTTCACTGTGTATTAACTTCATTATAACCATAACCTCGTGTAATGCCTTAATTTTTTTTTTTTTTAAACTGTTATAACATTTTTTGTTTAAAATCTACGGTTTATCTAGGCTAGATTGTGCACATCTCAACTAATTTCTGATGCCTTAAAATTATCGATCAAGTAAAAGTCCTAGTGGCTACCCATATAAGTGCTTAAAAAGACTCGAATTCAATAACTCATAAAATCTCATTTTACTCTTTTACCATCCGGTCACTCTATAGTGATTTTGTTATAAAATTTTGTATAAACTATTTTATAACAATTTTGAGTATTTTCCATAAACTATTTTTTAACTTATTTAAAATTATGAAATTTTAAAAATATTTTGTTTTTATTAATAAATTTGATTTTAATCTATTGTTGTTTTTTTAATAAATTAATACTCATGGCGCATGACCAGCCATATACGACTAATCGTGCACCATTCTGTCGACTGTGGCTTGGGATAGATAGAGATGATTTTGTTACAAATTAAGGTTTTATATGATTGAGATGTTTTAGCAAAATTTTAAATTTAGAAGATTAAAAGAAATAATTCGAAAAATAATAATAAAAAATATTTTTATATTAATATTTAAAAATAAAAGTAATTTAGTAATCTATAAAATATATCCACTCATTGATCTTTCAACCAAATATATTATTCACCAATTTATTCGAATCAACCAAATACATTTTTTAAACATTCTCAGTAATCTTCAAAATAATTTTTTTCGTTAATATAATATTATCTTATAATAAAACATTATATGATTCAAACGTACCCAAAGTTCTTTGATATTTTCCCAACCCAAGAACTAACTTATTAATTATATTCTAATAAACTTTTCTTTTATAAATGGACCTTACCTCATAAAACTCAGTTGACCAATAACTAGTGTACATTGAGCCGATGCTTGTGTCATAAAAAAAAGAAATATATCAAGTGTGAATTCTTAAATCTAAACGACTTTTGTCTAGAACAAGAATGGAGTAAATGTGATGCGTTGACAGAGACATAATGGTTAGCAGCATATAATGTGTAAGGACCTAATGACAGGACACGTGTGAAAAAAAAAGAGCCAAGTCAATATCAAATTGGATTATTAAATGGAAAGGCAAAGCTCCACCTCCACTTTCACAAGAATTGCTATCACCGTATATGAATTCTCTAACACAAGGAACAACCTGTAATGGGATGAGTGGGACCCATTGTGGTTGAAATAATACAAACAAAGAACGTGTTCTCCTCCTCCTCCTCCTGCTTTCACCTCCAACAGAACCCCGTGAACTCCACTGATTTACCAAACCAAAAATACATTGCTTCTGAACTCTTCTCTACTTTTCTGCAATCAAAACCAAACATTCCTTGCTAACTGGCTAATAATTTTATACTTGTACAAAAGCAGAAAAAGTAGAATGGATTAAAACAAAAGAAAAATGTATTATTATTACCGTAATAATACAATTAATACATACAATGAAATCAATTCATCAAAACTGTTCCAAGCACTGGAACCCCAAAATAAAAAGAACAAAAAAAGAATTGGAAAATCTCCGAGAAATTAATAATAAAAAATTAAAGAAGAAAAAAAAAAGCCCCCAAATCCCATCAATGATTTCCCAAACCCAACCCTAATCCCACCAATCTGTGACTGTACACATCTATCAAAGAATGGTAAAATAATGAGCGTAATGAAGAAGAACCATTACAAATAACTCGTAAATTCCATCAATGGCGACGAACTAGAAGATGAAAACACCAAAGAAGGCTGATCTTTGGCCACTATACTTTTATGCTTGTAAAGATCATAAGGTTCCCAAAGATAATCCAGAGGACAAGGCTTTCTGGCGTCAAGTCTAACCCAAGGTTTACCTTTACCACTCCAATGTAACAAACTAACTGGACCCGGATGCAATGACCGACAGCTCCCCTTCACATTATCACCGCCGAGTCCGTGCTGGTTCCACCGGTGATCAATAGCCTCTACATTACCACCAAACACCAGTAAAAATGGAGGCAAAGAACCCAGCTCATAAATCCTCTTTTTCCTCTGCATTTCCATCCAGTTCTCTATTCTTCTCCGGTAATTTCCTTCTCGCCACTTCACTAAATCCATCACCATGACACCCGTGTTGAAATAGCAGGGCTTTCTTGACCCAAATACCCGTGACAAGAGTGGGTCAGACCAGAAGTCGTCTGTGAAGTATTTCGTGAAATTCGCGTGACAATACTCCGGTGCGCCAATGACTTTGGACCCGGTTAACGGAATGTTCCAGAGTTTGTGAATGTCGTCAACCAGTAAGAGGTCTGAGTCAAGGTAAATGACTCGGTCGACGCAGGTGTCCAGGATGTCCCCAAGATAGTTTCTTGCGTAGTTCAGTGGGTTCTCTAACGCTTCACGAATTGAAGATGATATCAGATTTATCACCGTGTCTTCGCGGAAGATGTAAACTTTAAACTTGAGTGAAGGGAACGTGGATCGGACGAGTTGAGTCAAGACTCGGGGACTCGCCAGGTCGAACTCAGCAGATATGAAATGGAAGAAGATGTTTTCCGGACAAGAAGCGTGTTTGATAACAGAATGGACGGCCGCGATAGAGCCACGTATATACTCGGAGTCTAGAGTCATTGCGATGTGAACTAGAGAGGGGTCACACGATGAGGGCTTCAATCCAAACTCCCCGTCATTAGCTGAGACCTGACAACCTCTCCCGTTGCGGTATTCCGGCGCCTCAGCAAACCGATCAAATCCCAACACATCTCTACCGTCAATGTCTCTGGTCCGAATAGAACGAATCCCGAGACAAAACGGCGGAAATACTAAATAAAAAAGTAGACAAACGGCAGCTTTTAATCGGAAACCGACCATCATTCAAGACTTTTCTTTTTCTTGAACAAGAAAGGGCTTCTGGTTTTCGGATTCTTGAAAGCTAAGGAACTGAAATGTTTAATACTCAGTGATTTGCATTGCGCTGATAATATAGAAAGTGGAAGTGCAAAAAAATGATGATAGTCCTCGAGATGGTTTAACAAATAAAGGGGAAAAGGAAATTTCAACACAGAAGTTGATAATTCTTGGCTCTTGGAGGTGATTTTGCTAAGGAAAACGCGGTTCTGGTTTTCTGTGTGTTATAAAGAGAGAGAGAGTAAGAGGGATTGGGTTCGTTAAATTTATTGGAGAAACAGGCAAACAGCTGTGGTGAAGGAAAGAATAAATCTCATGCCTCAAGTGCAGTGTGAAAGACGCGCAGCTGATACGCGTGGGAAACGGAGAGGTATTTTTTAAGCGTAAAGTTTTGAATTTGGTAACGTATTTACGCGGTATTTAGTAATAAACGGGCAGTAATGGACGTAGTCGTTTAGTTAGTGACGAAGGTACAGTAAAGGAGTTAATCGTTTTTATTTGTTAAGTTTTTATTGAAGGAGGTTGTGTTATTATTGGAATAATACTAATTTTATTAATGAATTAATCGTACCTTAATTAGATCATGACGTTAAATTTGTGCGATGGAGGTTGAGAAATGAATGCACAAATCCACAGTAGATGATTATTAATGAAAGCGCAAGTGGGTTTGTGTTCCCACATAATTTTCACAGGGACATTGATCCTATTAGTTTAAACTTTAAAAGAGGAAACCCCATTACCATTAGCTTTCGTGGTGAATCCTGAAATATTTTAAGATTATCATTCCCTTTTTTAACTCGAAAATGATAAGTTAATATCAAATGGTACAATGCCAGGTCAAAATGAGAATAGGTGAGATAATGAATAATGAATAATGACTCCTCCACCTTTACTAAAATGGGAGTACAGGTAATATTCTTTGCCCCCAATTATGCCCTGCCAGCTGTGCATCCAATGAACCCAGCTGGTGATGCTATTTTTATGACTGTTAAGTGATCTTGACGGCTGATATCAGTCTGGCACACCCCACAATACTGTCCCTAATTGGCTACTCGCTCCACGTGATCACGTGCTTCCCAAGGGGGGTTTTTCGTTGTCTTTCCTCTTTAGTAACAACTTGTTTGTAGAATATGCTAACAATTCATTTTTTTATTTCCGATTTTATTATCCAATATTAGATTTTAAGCAGAACGGAACGGACATAACAAAATATCCGTTACCATTTGGGAGCCGTTTCAATCGTAGAACTTATCTGACATTTTTAATAAATCATGTACAAGTGGGATATTAATTATTAGGGTATCATTTTAAAAGATATAATTATTTTATTTTTAACAAACCCCTCCTGAATGGTCTTTTGACCATTCCACCCTACTAACCCAAATTTTTTTTAAAATATTCAAAAATAAGAAAAAGACATAAATACCCTTAATAAATATTTTTTTAAAAATTATGTGGTATATATTACTTCAAGATGGCAGAAATACTCATATATTTAATATGACCAAAATGTAGAATAAAAAAAACCTCTAAGTCGTTCATGGTATTTGAGATTTGCAAACGAAAGAGGCGGTGAATGGATTTTGAGATAGGATTATTTTGTTAAATTTTATTAATTTGGGGTTCAAAATGAGTCTAATTATTCATTATTACAACATATTTGTAAGGGTAAAAAAAGTATTTTAATTGTGAAAGTTGGTTAAAAGAAAATTTAGACAAACATGTCATACATAGAATGTTATATGCACAAAATGAAGTGTCATTTATCAATTTGACTTTTGTATTAATTCATTCATCTTGTAATATAAAACTTTATATAGAAGACTTTGTCTATACAAATATTTGAGTAGTATTACATATAGAAACTGATATAACATTACTTTTTTATTGTCACATCATTGGTTTCATATATTTTTGAATTGATTTTTTATTACATTAGTTTGTGCAGAAGAATTTGTATGAAAAATCTACAAATATTTAGTATTATTCCATTTACATATAGACCAAGACTATTGATGTGTGTTATGTTGATAGTTTCTTAAACTAAGGATGGCAAATCATTTTGCATATTTGAGTTTGTAGGATGTTTAATAGACTCTAGAGATTAGTTGAAGTATACATAAACTGATCCGAACACATCAGTTACCAAAAAAAAAAAAAAAAAAAAAATTGTTTTGCCATGAGGCATAGGGTGAGAAATATATTATTGGGTTGGCTGTTATATAAGTTCGTGATGGTGCTTGTGTTTGGGTGTGGACAGGGATGATGATGTTTGGCTGTTAATGGCACGACCAAACTTGTTGTTTGAAGTTGTCATTTATATTGAATTTTCAACCACTTTGATTCGGGTTAAAGGCATTCAGGATATAAACATAACCCCAGTATCTGATGAAATCTATTATTTCATCTTTCTAATTACAAAGTGAAAACATTGGTTGAGTGCGCGTGAAGGTTTAGAATTCTTCTATCTACCTTGTGGCTGCTGCTGTTGTCATGTGTTTTAGTTAAATTTTAAAGAAATGAAATGAAGCAGTGAACTTTCCGCCTCCATAAATAATATACTTTTGAATGATTGAACTATTATATTTGCTTTTGCTTTTGCTTCAATAATCTTCTTTCACCCATTTTTTATTTTTTTTCAGTAAAACTGACGTATCTAATATTTATACGTTTCAAGAAGCATTGAATCGTTGTTAGAAAACAACTATCAACATATATAAATGACGGACTATTCAAGAGGAAAATGATAATTAGGAATGTAACAGCCCAACAGCTGTGATAGAAACTAACGTCTAATATATTTTTTTTTTTATTTATTTTTTTTTTTAAAGAGAGAAAAAGGCCCTGGCTTTCTTTACCATATAATAAATCGATTTACAAAGCCGACAAAAAATGCAAGACGTTGGGTTAGTTGGTTGGTTGGTCCGTGACCTTTTCAATTATGAACAAGACATGAATGTATTTAGAAAATAAGTGGAGATAAATTGTTTTAATAAAGAGTGAAGTGAACTTAACATCTGTGTTATTAGGTGGAAAAAGATTCTTGAACCGCCCAACTTGCAATTAATAAACAAGAAAATTACCTTTTTATTAATTTCCCCAACTCCAACTCCAACTCCAACACCTCGTTTACCAAGTAATTAATCTGTTTAAAGTTCCAACGAAACTTGCCTCCTTCTGAATTTTCAATTCTCCACTCTGTCAAAACTGGAAACCCATTACATGTACCCTCTTTACTTTACCCAAAAACAGAAAATTACACTAATGGTTTGGCGTATTATGTTATATTAATGTGGGGAGTGGCATAGGATGCTCTGAGTATTGAAGAAGAATAAGGGCAGTGAGGTGAGCGATGGGTCTGAAACTGACGGTGCAGTTTGTCCATATGTCCCTTTTAAATTACTGTACTGGTACGTCAAGAGGCCCATGGTTTGGTTAAGTTTGGTTTTTTGGCACATGTCGCAAATGTTAACCATTTTGGTTCCCCAGTCCCACGAGAAGGGAATCAAAGCTGAATCCAGCGGATAGAATTTGAGGAGGAGGTATTGTCATGTCATGTCATCTCCCGTGAAGGAAGCGAAGCTGCGTTGTTGTCTCATAGCCTGTTCAGTGTTCATTTGTATCGTTCTCTTTTAAGTTTTAACTCTTGCCATTTTATGAGCTGACAAAATTTATTTCACTTTCAAACATATCATATATATTTCGAATGCCTCCTTTATTTTTCATATAAACATATATATTGAGTTAATGTTAAACTAATAACACGTTATTCCTAATTATAATTTCATATTATATTTAATTTGATGAAGATGACATCATTTGAATATAAAATCTGAGATAAACATGTACAACATTTCTTTTTTATTATTATGATCATGTAAGTTACCAGTCAAAAGACAATTTTGAACACCTGAAAGCACAAATATTTTTGCTGAACTACGAAAACTTTGGCGCATTTACGGCAACCCAATACAAAGACCGTGGAGCCCATATAACACAGAGAAAGCAAAGCCAGACACAAACTTGAATTTTATTGGCATGTTCCAGCCATAATTGTGTGGTCCAAATTCCAAAAGTTATCTGGCATATACTGCCCACTCGTTATCCTGGGTCTCCATACAAACCCAACAAAATCCTACAGTTTGACCAGAAACAGACAGAAAATTAAATGAACTTAAAAATCTCCATGCATACAACCAGGAGATGAATATTCATATATTCCAGAAGCAAAAGACTTAATATACTCCATCAATCATAGTGCGTCGTAGGTTCTCCGAAAAGACTACACAAGGTAAATGTTGACATTCCTGCCTCCAACTTGAAAAGAATCGGCATTCTATACAACTAGAGGGTTTAAAATCAAAATCATTGCAAGGAGAGATGACCATCTTCCCTTAAAATTTTATTCTTTGTTACGTCAAGATTGTTGGTGGAAAGTGAGGGGATGTTTAAAAACAGTGTGTATTTTCAGCTTAAGGAAGCACACCTCTAACTTCTTTCCTATCTGGTCCGTATGCCTGCAACAGAAAATAATTAAACCACTAATTCTTCTGATATTTATGTATAATTTGACGTTTCAGCATAACACCAATGGAGAAAATTATCAACATGTCACATAAAGCTGTAAAAGAAGTCGTAAATGTCATACGATAAAAACAACAGATAAAGTTTGATTAATGACAAATTATCGAGAAAGATTATATGCATCGCAATGCTAAAAAGTGCATATGAAGGTATCCAATTACAAAAAGTAACATATTTATATGGAAAGTGCAGATACATATTTCAAATTCCTCACATTTGGCAATAAGAAGTTCCAAAGACTCAAGATCCAGTGGTCAAACTAAGTAAATTACTCAGAATAAGCAAGAAGAAGAAAAAAAGCTTAAGGTATTAAAATTACTATCATCGAATGCATCTTGATGGTCTAAGAGATGCAAACGCAACAATAAGTCACAAAATGATCTCTTATGTTTAACTATTTCGACACCTTCCATCATGCAACCCAAGCTATGTATTGCAGATTTAATATCAAGTTATCTGTATCATCATGGTCCATTTTATCTGTCACCTATTGCTAAAAGATGTTAGACAATTGTGATCAGGGTACTCACAATTGGCAGTATAAATGATTTAATTATGTTATTAACATGATATTTTACATTTCATGACAACAAAAACTATTTAATTGTATGCAAATCAAGTGAATGCAATTATAATCTGTTATGATTAAAGTAACTGTCCATCTAAAATGCTAGATATTTTGTTTTTCAGAAATTATTATTTTGATTATTTTCAATTCCACTGCCCCAAATTGTCAAATGTGTTTACTCTGATAGAAAGCATATCCAAAGAAGCCTCAGTTAAAAAAATAAATATTAAGAGTAGACAAAAGTTTATTTTCAAACTTAAGAGAGTCAAGAGCCGAGGCAGAGATCATAGCACAAATGAAAATCAAAGAGCTGCCAAAAAAAGATTATTACCTCAGTTCCAAAACCTTTCACATATACATTTGTGAAAAGTTCATAAGCCTCTGGCATGGGACTTTCCTGGTTATACAAAGGGAAAAAAAAAAGCACAAAACGAAGTATCAGAATGGTGAAAAAGAACAACAAAAAAAAAAAACAGAAAACAAAGATTAAGCAAACATAAATTGTTGAAGAACAAAAATTCCTACACTTACCTGCAAGAATTAGGGAACTATCAAAAGAAGGTTTAGTGATCAATTCATGTAGGAATAATTAGGAACCTTACCTAGTGAACTCAGTATCAATGTAGATCTTATCATATGTACTTTTGGAGTTAACAGTGTTGTCAATTTGATGATACTATAGAATTTATTGGGAAGTGTGCAATTTCAAAGTCTGCTGGGATGAGGTATAGCACCACCGGCCTCTTATTTCAGGTTTAGTTGTCTTATCATGTATGTGCGCTTTCGTACTAAAACCACCAGCTTTTTGTTCCCTGAATGATTTCTAAAAGGTTTAGGTGAATCAATAGTTTATATAAATTACAAGCTATCTGAATTAAATGGGAGGGAATAATCAATATTTTCTGAGGTTTATTTGACAGTGTGATTGCCTTCTTCCATGGGTGCAGTTGCTTAAAACCCCTAGTATAACTTCTTAGGTTCTATCCCATTTTCTTCTTCTCTATTGTTCTAAATTTCTTCAATTTGTCCATTGCTTTTAGCACCTAAATAATCCGAAACATCAAACTTTTCACTGAAACAAATGCCAAATTAAACTAAAGTACATCCACCTCTAACTTGAAAATCTAAATTACAAAGCACCCATGACAGAAGATCTCTCTTGTTCTGAAGAAATGCTTCTTACCTTGGCTTGAGCAATGGCCTCGTCTACTTCTTTTCTTACTTCCTTCTCGATATCCTAAAGATGAAAAAAAAATTCACAGATTCAGTTTTCCCCATACTCCATTGCCATAACCAAGTTTCAAACTTCATTCTGATTGCGGAACAATAAGCAATTCCCTCCAGACATAGAATCAACCAGAAGAAGAGAAAGAACAAAAATAATAACATTCCGGAACAAAATTCCAAGAAATTGTAGAACTTCTGAATGATAAGTTAAATAAAATACCTTTAGTTCTTTCTCAGTAGCTAGGTCATGTGAAAGTACCAACTTTCTTATTCTTTCAATTGGATCACGCTCCTAGACACCATAGCACCAAAGGAAATAAGTCTATGAAAACTAGACCAATGAAAAAGAAATGTCTTTTAGAAGAGATGGGATGTCAAATATGTATAACCTGTCTCACACCAGAAATCTCATCACGTGTGCGGTAGGTGCTCCCTGGGTCAGACATAGAATGACCATGATATCTGTATGTGTCCATTTCAAGAATCTGAAAACACAAGCATCAAGAATAAGAGTAAACCAATATATCAATTTCATAAAGAATGACAAGAAAGAAATACAAATTAAACAGAAACTAGAAGCAGCAAATCAATCTATGAGCATGCATATGTTGTGGTGTGCTGTTACACCAATGCACAGTCACTAATTTATTACTAATACAAAAGCAAAATATAGCCTTTAAAACTTCTTACACAATCAAATACAATGATGTAACTTCTTTTAGGTTTACACTTAATTACTAATTTTAGTCTTTTTTTGAAATCATAAGAGAACAAAAAGAAGGAAAAAAAAATCAATTTAAAATAAGAAACTGCATATCAGCCCAGACACAGATCTAAACCCAAGCTTAAGCATCTGAAAGTTGAAATTAGAAAACCTAAACAGGAACATCCTCATCTTTCCTAAAGGCAGCAAGTTTTTTCTCTACATCTTAAGTATCAATACCATAGCAGCATTACATGTTTCTTTCCCTCCAACACAAAGGCAACTCTACAAAATGTGGCTGCAAATTGAAGCCCCTTAAGTGATCACTTGCCATGATTCTCTCATTTTTCAAAGAATTATAGCCCAAAGCAAAAACCTTTCTCTCACATCTTCCCGACCCATACTCAGAATTAGAAAGGATGTGAGGAGAATAACCCCGTTTATCCAAATGTTCAGTTAAGTTGGTTCCATAAATCCTGTGAAAAATACACATCCTAATTTTGAAACAAGATTTCAGTCTTCTGCAAGTATGGAGGTTTCTCAGCATCAAAGAACAGCACATAAGGTGATTTCTAGCACAGCAAACCTCAAGAGATATTATGCATTTCGAACTTATATTCCCCACTTGCTCCTAGATTTCATAATAATTTTGGAACTTACAACGTTTCTTCTGAATTGGTAATGAAGGCAAAACAGGGAGCATATAATCAAAAACAAAATGACATTTTCATGTCATTTTCAATCAAAGCTTCACACCAAGAACCTAATTCCACTAAAACAAGTATTCAGCAGACACCTACGGTATAACATGGCCCAATAGTGCTCATCAAAGATACTTCAGGACAAGTAGATCCCAATCTTGAGTGAGCTTTTTGTCAAGTGGAATTTCATCCTAATCAAGTGAACATTCAACATGTGCAAACCTCAAATCAGAAGAAGGGGTTGGTTTTCCCCACAAGAGCAAAAGGAAAATTTTGATTATTTTCCATCACCCACACAACTATACAGCATTTATCTTCAGTATATTTTCACTCCACATAAATATATGTGCTATTTAATGAAGATATATAAATGGCATTGTCCTTGGCAACACATAGCATCAGTAAAGTCCTATATCATGTTTGGTCCAAAGTCTAAAAAACTTGGCAGTATCAGACCTCACATAAAATTTGACCTTAATATTTTCAAGCCAAGCTATATAGTAAAACAAGAAACCTTACCGGCAAATAATGTATTATGAAAAACTCAAAATTATCCAATTGACAAACAAGACGTCATGAAGCCAAATCTAAGCAGTTCAATCTTGTAAGTAACTATAACTTGTATATAACTTTCTGTTTTCATTCATAAAATTATGATGACACTTGCTTCAGATTTAAATACATAATAATGCAAGATTTATGCTCCTACAGTAGTCAAAATAGAATTCCATTGCTGGTATATTAACTATGACAGCAACAATAGACATTATAAAAACGAAGAAAAAAAAAAGAGGTAATGAATAAGCATGTAATATAGCCACAAAAGTGCTACTTAAATGAGAAGTGAAAGGGTAGAAATTTCTTTCAGGCAATAGAAGGCAGTATTTGTTGGTGATATTCAAATCACATCAACAATAGTTTACACAGGAAACTAGACACATAAATAGAATCAATAGTTCAATCCATGAACTTACAATAGGTCCATTCTTCAAAGCATGCTCCTTAGCAAACTTGCAAGCTTGTTTCACAGCAAGGGCGTCCATGCCATCCACCTGTTACAAACTATCATGTTACAAACACTACATAAACTACAATAAGAAGTAACCCACGATCACAGAATAGTTTACTATCAAATTTCCTTGTAAATACATTTTCATTCCATTGTGAGTACTTGAGCTCAAAGCATCTAGACATAATGAAAAATATTCATAGGCACAGTTACCATTCTCACCTTTAATGAGCCACAATTCTAAAAAGTTCATTTTCAATGTATATAAAATTATCTATAAACACTTTACTGCACAAGGCTAAAACAAGTCCACAATTTACACCTAGTTCAGAAAACTTTTACGATTCAGATTTTACTCTCCACCCTTGTTGCTCAAGATATAGCAATCTATTTGGGCAAATATTTCCTAAGCGCTCTACAAAAACAAAGCCACAGGAGTTTCTTGTTTTCCCTTAAACATAGCATAAAACCAGCAAAAATTCGACCACATACATGTGAAATGAAATATACATCATTGCAACATTAAAAAGCAGATCTAAATTTCACCATAATCCAAAATTTTCTCAACCCCAGTAAAAAATTACTAATTCAAATTCAATCTTACCTTCAAACCGGGAACATAGTCCCCACGCTTGTAGTAGGCCGGACTCTTTGCTGCTCTCCACTCAGCTGTTCCCATTCCATCTGCAACGACCAACCACCTCCAAAATCAATCATAAACACTCAAAAGAACACAATAAAACAACATTTTATTTCAATTAAAATAAGCTTTTCTTTACAGTGGTTATTCTCGCAGACCAAAATCGCTGGCAGGTCCCAAAGAGCAGAAATATTAAGTGCCTCGAACAACTGCCCCTGGTTGGCCGCACCGTCACCGTACAATGCAAACGTCACCGTTTCATCCTTGGAGTATTTCTGCGCGAAAGCCAACCCACATCCTAAAGGAACCTGGGCCCCAACAATCCCATGGCCTCCATAAAAACCGGAACCCTTCTTGTAAAAATGCATCGAACCTCCCTTTCCCCTGGAACAACCATCCTTTCTCCCCATCAGCTCCGAAAAAACCTCTAGTAGGGTCCCGCCACGGCCAACAAACGTGCAGTGATCACGATAAGCAGTTATAATGGAATCCTTTTTAGTGATGGCGGCTTCCATGCCCACGGCCACGGCTTCTTGCCCGTCGTACAAGTGGCAGAATCCACGGACGAGCTTTGCCTTGTAGAGAGAATCGGCAGCGATCTCCATCCGACGCATGAGGGCCATGTCGCGGAAGAAGGTGAGGAGTTCTTTGGAAGAGGTTTCGACGGAGCGGGAAGGCGCTTCGCATTGGTGTGCGGTGAAAGGGACGGAGGTCTCTATGGTGAGGGGCGTGGTATCGCTGGAGATCGGACGGCGGAGGAGAAAGGCGGTGGTTAGGGGCTTAAGGAGAGTTGAAGATCGAGCGGTGGATGATGAGGTGAAGCGTGATAGAGCCATCTCGATCGTTGATCTGGTTTGGTTTGTTAGGGGGGTTTGGTGGGAGTGGAGATGGAGACGGAGATGAAAGATTTTGGTTTAGTGAAAGCTCTGTATATATTCGGTTACTCTTCGGTATTCGGTGTTGGTGTGGGTTCGCCCAGTGAACGGTGGCAGTAAGGTTTCTCACTTTTCCTGGTGAGGGATTTCCTCCTTGTAGTTTGAGAAAAATACACTGACACCCAAGGATTCTGAAAAGTCGTTTACACACCCAAAAAGTTGAGGGATGCTACTAACATAATCTAAAACTCTATTTGAAAAGAGAAAAGACTTCAATATCCTTTATCTTATTATACTTCCCTCTCCCATTTAATTTAAAGTCTACAATTTAATTATTATTTATTTTAGTTTTTATATAATATAGTATTAATTGAAATAATTTACCTAAATCTTATATCAAAAAATCTAAAACCCAGTTCGTTTTTATTTTCTTTCCCTTTTTTCCCCACTTTTTTCTTGTAAAACGCAAGAAACTTGTTCAAAAACTGATTTTTTTTTTTATATATTTTTATAAAATGAGAATGGAGAATTTGATTGAGTTTTGTTTTGGTTTTAGAAAATGTATTTTGAGAAAACAATAGGCTATTTTATGAAATCAATTTCTATACCTCACTTTTACCAGTGTAACAAAATATTTTATTTCTTTTTTGTGCTTTCTTTTCTTTTTTTATGTCTTCACTTGACATTTACCTATACAACAAAAATATTTCATTTATTTTCTTATAATTAAGGCAATAAATTCTATCCTCTCTTATAATATAGATTTTGTATTATAATAGTGAATATATTTTCTTTGTTTTCATTCTCAAATCATATGTTATAAAAATGATAATGAACGCATTTTCAAATTCTAAAAATGTAAAATCAAACTTCAAATTTTCATATTTTCATATTTAAAAACAAAAACGTCAAAAACTTAAATGAACACCTATATGGTTAAAATAGGAATGGAAGAAATAAAAAAATGAAAAGAATATTATATATAGATAGAAGATATTATAGTCTTTGTATACTAAAGTAGCGACTTTCACTAATGTTGTCGATCGGTTGGATGCATTTGTTATTTTCTGAAATATTTTGGGTGAATTGTAATTTTCCCAAACTTTGTGGAGGAAACAAAACCCGGAGTTTGGTTAATTTTTACCCGCGGGTGGAATTTGGGAGATTTGACTTTACTATTAATAAAATAATAGAAATAAATTAAATGAATCTGACTGGTACGTAAATATATTCTATTCTATGCGCTGTTCAACAGCAGCCAATCCTAGACTCGATTGGTTTGGTTGGTGGAAGATGGAACACTGAAGTAGACAAAGATGTGCTTCATGTTGTTAGGTGGCTACATTTTTTTTATATAAAATAAAAGATATAATAGATGAAAATTGGAATTAAAACAAGTTTAATGATGACGATTTTTTCTCAACTTACAATTGATTTCATGTTGCATCTAATGTCACTTCACAAGTATAATTCTATTCTTTCATCACTCAGGGTTTAAGGTTTGACGTTTGAAACCTTGGGTAAATGTTTATCAATGTTTTAATAATTAACCTGGGTGAAATCTGGCAAAGTTGTCGGGTCTTGGATTGACCGATATAATCGGTTTGATTGGTCAGTTAAATCGGGTGATAAAACTTTTAAACTTTATAATACACCCCTAAAAATTACAGTTAAGTTTTTATAGGTTTAAAATTTAGCAAACACACCTCAAATACAAATCGGCTAATAACTGGTTGGCCACGGTAACACCCCAAATGCAATCTTAATCATTCCTTAAGCTATTCCCCATAAAATCTACCAAAGATCTGGCCAAAATCAATTTCGGTCAGATCTCACTAACGCCAGTGTCGACATTCCAGGCTAGATATCACCGACGTCGATGTCAACAACCCTCCCCATCACCTTGAAAATACTCCCCTCTTCCTCCCGATCAAAACTCATCTCACCCCACCCCAGTTAGCCTCGCCAATCGCCGGCAAAAGTCGACTATTGCTGTCGCTTTTTTTTTCGATTTCTAGTCGATTCACTCACTGGAAATCAACTTTGTCGCCACCATTGCACTCACTGGCACTTGCTCTTCAAAAGCTCCCACATCCCGACCTTCAATTGTTCACCAATCATCATCCTAAATTCTAGGGTTTTTGGTGAATAGGAAAATTGTTTACCCAGTTCGGTGAACCTCTAGGGTCCACGTTAAACCAGCCACGTAGGCCAGGTTTTAAAACACTAATGTTTATAGCAATACAAATTCACATAAACATAAATATATCCATTGTTTCTTAAATAACAAAAAATACATATTTTTTACATAACATAACAATTAATACATGAAAAAATGAAAGTCAACATAATCTTTCTCATTCATCGTTTTCTAGATATTAGAAAATCAACTTTAACCTTGGTTTAACAGTTTAACTTACAAATGTGAACAATCTTAAACGAATTTTTTTTAGAGCAAGCCCTGAGCAAGGCGAATTAATGAGAATGTCCATTATTATTTTATTTTATTTTCATTGTTTATTTTTATTTCAACTTCAAAAAAATTTAATCATAGTGACATAATCCCAAACAAAGAATTTCAAACTACATAATCTTTGAAAAAATTAGGTTTAGAATATTAAGAAAATAAGATTTCAAAAAAAATGTATGGAATGTATTAAAATAATAATTACCCTTATTTGTATTACTAGTTTAAAAATATTTTTTTAACAAATTATTATTAGAGTTCAGGAAAATTTTTGTAGGGTTGACCAACACCAATTTTTATTTTTATTTTTTTAATGAGAGCAGCTTGCTAATTCATCATTGAATTGGTTTTTAAAATATTGGTTGAGTCTGGTTTTAGGCTCAGGTTTTTGTAGTCTGACTTGGGTTTATGTTTACATTAATTATAATTAATTTTATTTTTAAAAGTTCTTATTATAAAATCCAATAATTGATTATTGTTAAAATATTAAATGACATGGTATTTTGTTTAGTATAATGTATAAATGTTATTTTAAATCATACGAGTATAATAAAAATAAAACAAACACACATTTGCATAATATGCAACAATAATAATATATAATAAAACCCGGCTGGGCTGGGCTGTTTAGAATATTGTGAGGTCCGGGACTAGGATTCAAATCCGGAGCCAAGTTTTTTTTTTTCCGCCGTCCTTAGTCCAATTTCAATTTTGATTAACGCATCTAAAAGTCCTAGTCAACAAAGTTTGTTACAAGCCCTTTTATTGTTACTTATGTTTTCTCGTTTGAAGACCTTAAAAAGGAAATAGTCCTTTATATCCTCCAAGGTTTTTATTTAACTTTTATATCTCAATTAATATGATAAAAAAAAAAATTTCAACCAGGGGCGTTTGGTTAGGGAATATTTGAGATTACTGAGGTTAAGTCATCTTATATTACTTGATTATCATTTTTTGTTGTCAAGTAATATAAGATACTCGTAATCTTCAAATACTAATAGTGGTTATTATTGGTAATATTTGAGGTAATTTGATTACCTTAATTTTCTTAGGTATTATAAGATTACCAAGGTTATCTTTTTTTGTTACAATTCTATCCCTTATTAATAAAAATTTAGGACAATAATGCCCTTATTTTAAAATTTATTTACATGAATATGACTTTTATAATTTCACCCCCAATTAATTAATTTTTTGGACAAAATTACCCTTGAATTCAAAACAAATTACAGCCCACCCAAACCACCACCCCCAGCTACCTTCCACCGGTAACCGCCGCCGCCGTCGAAACGGCTCATGGAAGGCCAAAAATGACCGTCGTGCGCCGATATGGCAATTTCCGGCCAGATTTAATCTGGCTGGAAATGGCCAGATCTAATCTGGCCGTCAAAGGCCATATCCATCGACCTGGCCGTTGACGACCAGATTCATAATCAATATGGTCGTTAATGGCCAGATTCGCCGATCTGGCCGTCGATGACCATCGATCTGGCCATATCGGCACACGGCGGCCATTTTCAGCCTTCCGTGCGTCGTTAGGTTGCCGGTGGTCGGCAGTGGCTGGGTTGGTGGAGGTGTTTTGTTGATTTTCGAAACTTTTATTATGAGGTTGTTTTTGCTAAGTTTTTAAATGTAGGGGGGTTATAGTCATCCAAATAATAATAATACTAAAAAATAATATAATAATAATCTTTAATTAGAGAACAATTCAGTAATTTAAATAACATATCCACCAATTTATTCCTTCCAACCAAACATATTAATATAACATACCTACCAATTAACCAAACACGTTGTCCTAAAGATTCCTAGTAATCTTCAAAGTAATCTATCTTTCTAGTAATCCAATATTCCCTGAACCAAACGCCCCCTTAATGTTATGTTACTTGACACTTAAACTTTTGAATGAAAAAACTAGGATATATAATATTATTCACATTATTATACTCATTGAATGGAAGTATAATCATTTTAGTAGCATCCCAACTTTTGTCTTTTGGAGCTCTATTTATCATTTATTTTTCTATTTCCAATAACATTAATTTCATGAGTAATACTAAACATACAATATTTTTCATACAATATTGTGATGTAAAATATGATTGACTGATTTTAAATTAAAAATAAACGTTTACCCAATCATCTTTTGTCACATAATGTTGTATGAGAAATATTATATGTGTAGTATTATGATAATTTCATATACTATCCTTAAGGTTTTTCATAAGAGCAACGTTTTGTTTACAACTGAGTCATACAAATAGACAAAAATGAGACAAAATTAATATAAAATGATTACTTTATCATTTATTTTTTGTATGTTTGTATAACTCAGTTGTATGATTCAGTATTGCTCTTTTCATAACTACATGCGTGTACCCATGGTTTTAAAACTCGAACCGGCCCGGTCGGTTGAACTGGGACTCGGGGCCTCCTCCGGGTCGGGTTATACTTTCAACTGTTTCAAGTTTAAAATCTTGCAAACACACCCCTGATTAATACATCAATCCCTGAAGGTTTGAAATCCAACAAACACACCCTCTGGCCAAATGCAAATCGACGATGACCTCCCCTATTCCGACGACCTTCCACCTTCCCTTGCTGTTGAAAGCCACCTTCTGACTTTCTCGGGGGTCGTGATGCTTCA